CTGAGGAATGTTATAAGCCCAAAACCAAAATAAAGGTCCAGCAAAGATTTTTTCCAGAAGACATTTTTCTCCCGTATGCTGTGTCTTTCATAAAGCAGTATGAAAAACAATCCTTTGTCCAGCTAATTTATTCTTATGCTTGGGAAAGTAGCAGTCAAGATGGACGACTCTATTTTCCTTATTTTGGCACAACCTCAGCTTTGAAATGTGTTTATGATGGGTCAGCTCAGATTGACATGATGCTATTTCTTCTCAAGGCTTAAGTACTAGGGCAGAAAAATGGCCTTGTTTTCCCTGGCACACTTCAGTTTTATGAGTTTGTTTTTATGATGTCATTAGGAACTGTCCAACTTCTCAGAGGAGTGATCATTCTTTGGATTTTTCCAATAGTCTGATTGCATAGAAGTTTGGTGGACGCTCACTCTGGGCCAGAGTGATATTGTCAGTGACCACTGGGTCTTCTTCCAAAACTTCAAGACTGTAACATTAAAAGGCCTTGAGTGATTTCTGAAGATGAGTGCGACAACAGGGCCTGCACTTGATGGTGAGGTCTCTCAAGGTTGATTAGTAGGAAAAAACACATTTCATAGACATGATGGCTTTCTCACTATCTCCATGGCAACTGTAAGGCCAGCAAGCTGCTGATAAAAATCAGAGATGCAGCTTAGCCAAGAATCCCATGTAGTTATGAGATTTGTGCTCCAATATAAGAAGAGAGATAGGTCAGTATAACAGCCTCAGGCTGCTAGGATGTAACCTTTGCTCTTTGGCCTCCTTTGACATAGCCTTGGAGACCACTGTTCAATTATTAATTAACCCACCTCATTTTCCCCTTGGCTCTCACAAGAGGCCATGTTCCCAAGGAGATGGGGAAACATCTGTGACCATGTGTAGTTATGCATACCTTCTTAGAGTCATGGTTGCCTATTAGATTTTCCATGGAAAGGAGGAAGTAGCCGTGGCCCTGTCTCAACCAACTCAGTTTTGTGGAAAACTCTTTGTCGATCAGATTTTTAACCCAAGGGTCACCTCCCCTGGAAAGCCACCCTAATTTTTTCAGGAAGAGTTCACATCTCATTGACTTATATTACAACATCAACTTTGATGCTTCCTTCTAGATCTTTCTCCCCCCAGCTATAAGCCCCAGGAGAACAGCCCACAGCCTCACATCACAATCATCCTGTGCTTAATACTGTGCCAGGCACAGTTTTGGAGACATTAAATGTTTTCCGAGTGATGATAGCCCAGTGGCCAAGTCCTCACATTTCTATGGCCTTCTTCATAAAAGGTACCCAAGTTTTTGAGGTTCATAGTTATGCCCTGATTGAATCCAAGAATGATACAAATCAAGCCCACCGTGCAGAAGTTTCAGGGACACGAGACTCTTGCTCCTGTCGAGCTCGTCTGCCCATCATCATGCCATTTCAGAGGTATCCATCCTGCCTCTCCCCTCACATTCACTCACAGTGTGTTCAGAAAGCACCACACAGTGGGCTGAGCCCAACCGTGACTGTACCAAGAGGTTCCAGAAGGCGCTGGTACTCCAAGGCTACTGCATGGATTTCAGATCCCCATGCACATTTACTCGGAAAAGCAGAATTTCAGTGCTCTTCCAGAACTTAATTCATCTTCTCTTCACCTCCTCCTCACAGATGAGTTTTAGCTGCATTGATATGTAACATGGACATTTTGACAAGCCATCATTAATTTATCCAACTCATATATATTGAATATTTACTATGGGTCACACATTATTCTAGTATCAAGAGCTCAACAGAGGTATCAAAATAGGTATGGTCCTGCCTAGTGGCCCAGAAGGAAAGAGACATGAAACAAAGAAATTTTATAATATATTAATTAATTATAATGTGTTACCAAGAAGGTGAGCTAAAAAGGACCAGAGAATGCACTAGAGGACCCAAGCTAGGGAAGGTAAATTTGAGGCTGCAATGTGGAAGGTGACAAGGTGGCTCGGGAGGAGGAAAGGGAAACACTTATCTTATGACGGCCTCTGGGCAGGGAGAAGAAAGGCTTAGCAATAACGCATCTCCAAGTCTGTGGAGGATCCACTCTGTGAATCTGAGTGAGCTTTATGGCGTCAAAGAAGAAAACCTTTCTAGCTAACGAGTGGGTAGGGGAATTATTGAGAGGAAAATAAAAGAATCTCAAGAAACCAGAATGCAAAAAGAACAATTAGACTTTGGGGGAATCAGAAAACCAATAAAAGTTGAAGCTCCTTTCCTGTGAGCTTATTTCCCACTCTTCTCTTACCTCCCTTCTTTCTACATCTTTCTCTCTCTTCTTTGTCAAGGGTCTTACTCTGCTTTCACCTGGCCCAAGATGGCAGCCACTCATGAGTCTACAGATCCTACTGTTTCCGCTCCACCACTGACGGATGGCAATCTCAATACCGCTCGTGCAATTGCCTGAGAGAACGGACCTGGCCTATCACTGGCCATTTAATAGAATCGGTTGGCTGACTTTGAGTCAGGTGCCCATGTACTAGAAATATTATCTTTTGCCCCCCAGAATTGGCAAACCAACTCATGTTCCTGTGATCTAGATAGAGTTCTACCCCCAGCCTCAGGGATGGAGGATATAACTCATGCCTAAGCAATTCAATACAGCATGTAATCAGCCTTGGAATTTGGTTCAGGAGACATACATAAGTCAGACTTTGGGTGAGAATTCTCAGCTTAAAGACGCTCCATCTTCCACGGGCATTCAAGAGGAGATATTCACTCTGTCTTTAGATCGTGTGATTGAGGTTCAGATCTTAAGCAACATTTTTCTAACATTAAGAGGAGCAAGACTAAGCATGGAGCCAACCCAGAGGAACCCAAACTAAGATTTGGAGTCGAAACTCATTCAGTTGTGGTGATGTTATCTGAGTGCTGTTTACAGCCTTACCTGAATCTGGGTCTACCCCAGGACATTTTCAAGCCAATAAATTCTTTTTATTATTTAAGTCAGTTCAAATAGGATTTTTCTGTCACTTGCAAAAAATGTCGAACTGATTTGGCTTGCCCCTCACCTGACCAGTTATGAAGCTGGGGGCGGAAGGGGGGCTAGGGAGGACAAGTTCATATTTATTTATTTTTATATAGTTACAAACAAGATTTCATAACGCTCACAAGAACAATTTGCCCCCAAATAAGAAAACAACATATTGTCTTGTTTCAAAGATTACAAATTCAGAGCCTAAAAAATCCAGTAGGTAAGAAGCCAGACAAATAGAGCCTGTTTGTGGAACTGTCTGCTAGCAAATGCTCAGTTTGCTGTCCAGGCAGCCTTTTGTCATGGGGGATGTGGGACAGTGCTACTTACATCCCATTCTGCACATCTCCCCTTGGCCACCCTCGGTACCGCCTGTTCATCTTCTTAAACTTCTCATAATGATAGTCATCAGTGGCCTCCTCATTAGCAGGGCGCTTGCGGCTTGCGGGGCACCAATCAGGCTCTGGCTTCTCCGGGTCACCCACTCTCAAGGGACGGGCTTTGGGTTCTTCTTTGTTCTCCGTATGGGAGCATTGAGCTCCTTGTGGTAAAATCGGTTGTGCTGCACGTAATTCACCGCCATGTTGGTGGGCACAAAGGAGGTCTCACTGTCTTTCTTCTTGTTCTGCTGCTCTGCTAGCAGACAGGCCTTGGCATCCTCCATAGAAATTATATTTTTTATTTTAGCATCAATGCCTAGGTCCACCTCGAGGGTGCTCAACATCTGGTTGGAAGCATTTCCTCGGTCTTCTTCACTGAGGAAAGGCGGGTGTTTTCTGGAAGTTCGTAAAGACAGTCCTCCGCATTCTTGGGCTTTACTTTCTGCTCTTCATGTGCCACGATCCCTTTCCGCTCCTTCAGCTCTGTCTCAATATACTTCATCATGTCGGCGTCCTCATCCCTTCGGTTGGTTTCTGCAGAAAATGATGTCCCCAGGTGGAGGTCTTCTTCACCGATCTTCTCTTTGCCCCTTTCCCTCAGTTTCTTCATGTCCACCATACCACCTGGCTTCATCTGCAAGGGATCAGCCACTACAGTGGTCTCTTCTTGTACCTTCTCTCCTACTAGCAGGGCCACAGCTCTGACTCCACTGGGCCTCTTCCTCAAGTTCTGCACCTGTCGTGTCTCTTCCAGTTTTAATCGAACCTCTTCTGAGTCCTGTTCATCTTCCTCCGACTCCAAGTCAGCCCGGCGCTGGCGGAAAGTCTTCCCGGTGACCGGCCTGGTCGCACCGGCTCCGGGGTGCAGCCCCTGCCCTGGGGTGCCCACAAGTTCATGTTTCAAGTAGGAAGTGATTATTTGAGAAGGTGATAAATTCAAAGTAGATTAAAGGACCTGGGCAACTCAGAGGCACACAAATAGCACAGCTAAGGCATATTGCAATTACGAATTCATAAACAAGGAAGAAAAAGAAAGGTCAGTTTTTATACTGAATTGTTTTACATTCTTTTCTAAAGAATATTAATCACCGTTTTCATTGCTTCATTAACGTTTTTCAGTTTTTTTAAAAGTAGCTATTCTTTCAGAAATAGCCACAGGCTGTGTTTGAGACTTCTCAAATGAGCTCCTTTTGAATTATTCATGTGAGAAAATCTCTATAGATATCCAGAAATAGGGTGTCTTTCTGTCACCATAACTTAAAAACAACCGATTGCTTTTCGCTAAAAAGAAAAACTGTTTCAGCTGAAACCAGATTTGAAAAATATCACCCCATTTTTCTCTCCACAAATTAAATTAGCTGCAGAAAACTGGGGGGAGAGTAAAACTACACAAAACATTCCCTCTCGCACACTATGTTTTTGTACATTTGTTGCCTACTAGGGACTGGACCCAGAAGGCAGCGCGGTCTGCACCGCCAGCTTCTCCTAGCGCGGTGCCACCATGTCTGGGCACAGCTCACTGGTGGTAGAGATGATCCTAACTCTGGGCTGTAAGATGTAAACCTTCTATGTAAATCGGTCTCTATTTACTTTCCTTTTCCTATTTTGGTTTTTCTTTGCCAGGAACGCAAATTTCCCAAGTTTGTATCTAAAGAAATGGAAAACATGTACATCGAGGAGCTGAAGTCGTCCGTCAACCTGCTCATGGCCAACCTGGAGAGCATGCCGGTGTCCAAGGGCGGCGAGTTCAAGCTTCAGAAGCTCAAGCGCAGCCACAATGCTTCCATCATCGACCTGGGCGAGGAGAGTGAGAACCAGCTCTCCAAGTCCGACGTCGTGCTGGCTTTCTCCTTGGAGGTAAAAAGCTCTAAGCCCTTGAAAGTTTCCGGGCGCTGCCAGCAGGACACGGGCGATCAGAGGCATCGCACTCAGCGTGGGCTCCTCCTTGCGCCCAGGAGCCGTTCCTAACCTCGCAGCTTGCTGAGCGTGGGGCAGCTAATCAGCAAATGATTCCCTGCCCCAGGAGCCCATCCTGTCCTCAAGGAAATGCAGTCTTAAAAGCCACTTACTGAATTTAGTCTTGCATTCCTTTTACCGTTGTAAAGTGGTGATGAAGATTTTGTAAAGAGGTGTGCAATTTAGAAAGTTTAAAATTTGGGCACCCTGTGTGGAAGTTTTGAGAGAAGCCGTGGGGCTTCATTCTGGGGTAGCTGTGACTTGCCTTTGCCATCGTCTCTCCTGTTGGCTATGTGGTAAAGAGCCGTGGTTGTGGTGGGGTGCTTTTAGTTCATCTCACAACCCAAAGGAAAAACCCAGCTGGGCCTTCTGGTGTAATGCTCGATGTGTCATTCCATTTCTCCATAACATCTACTCAAAGGGGTAGTTTGATCCAGGTTCATCAGAAGTACCTGGGAAGCTGGTTTAGTATGTCTGTCCCTACTGACCCAAACCTATAGGGGGTGGGAATTTAAAATGTTGCAGTCACTTTGGAAATAGTTTGGTGTTTTCTCAAAAAGTTAAACAAAAGACCATCGTGTTCAGCAACTCCACTCTTAGACATCTACCCAAGAGAAATGCAAACGCATGTCCCACAGAGACTTGCTCGTAAATGTTTCCAACAGTGTTATTCACAATAGCCAATCAGAGAAACAGTCTAAATATGTATCCACTGGTGAATGGGTAAATCTTGTACATACAGGGGAATTACTGTTCAAAAGAAACAAAACTACTGCCCTGCCCGGTTTGGCTCAGCAGTCACAGCATCGGCCTGCGAACATGTACCTCGGTTGCAGTTTGTCCCCGGCCCCGTTTGGGGTTGTGTGGGTGGCAACCAGTCGATGTGTCTCTCTCACATCGATGTTTCTCTCTCTCTCTTCCTCCCTCTCTCCCTTCAGCTCTATCTGAAGATAAATGTAAAAATGTCCTCGGGTGAGGATTAAAAAAAAAACAACTACTGATATATGCTTTGATTTATTGAACCTCAATAACATTATGTTTAGTGAAATAAGCCAGATACAAGTGACCAGATACAATTGTTTGATTCTACAGATATGAAATGTCCAAAAAAGACAAGTCTTCAGAAACAGAGAGGAAATTAGTGTTTCCTGAGGCAGGGTGTGGACATGGACATGAGGGACCTTATTGGAGGAGATACAAATGTTCTAAAATTAATTTATGATGATGATCGCATAACTTAGTAAATTTACTAAAATCATTGCTTGTACTCTTGAAATGGATTAATTCGATGATACGCAAAATATGTCTTGATAAAGTTATCTGAAAAAAAGAATCACTAGGCCAGTGCTGCCTGGGAATGTGCATTTTAATAAGCTACCCAGGTCTTTGCATGCACTCCCAAGACTGAGAACCATTCCCGACGTATTAAAGCTCAACACCCCTCCCCCCCACACTCACACATCCCTGCAAGGATTTTATGATGGTCCTAGATTTGGGGAGACCAAGAGAATAGATCCAATTTCTGTAGATGTAATTAGAATTTATACAAACTGAATTAATTCTCTGGGACATCCTAAGGCTGCTATGAAGTAACTGCAGGTAATTTGTTTATGCTTAGTTTGGGTTGAGATAGCCACTTTACAGTATTTCCAACATGTATTTTGCCAAAAGAAGCAGTATTCAATTAGATGTAGACCATGTGGTACGTGGAAAAAATCATCAGTACAATTTCACAGAAACTTTCTTTCTTTCTTTTTTAATACTGCTACCTGAGGTACTGAGCGCCTTCTCCTAGGTGTCTTAATTTGTCTAGTGCCAGTTAGAGGTGGCAATTTATTCCCCACTGCCTCTTGTCTTTCTACAAAAAGGAGAGAAAGTGGTTTATTGATTTTCATGAAGCTTTTAAATCTGTAATTTTCTAATTCTTTATCAGTACTCGCTGTTATACAGCCGATCATCTGAAATACCGATGTGGGCGAGTCCCTAGCCAGACTTGCTTTGTACATGATTCAAACAGGCTCTAACTTGTAAGTACAAGTACAGAATGAAATGCCCCAGGGCTCCCAAATACTTTTTAATTAGAACACAAAATTGCACATCACACTTCAACTGCCAGCAGAAATCATTGTACATCTATTTGTGAACGTGTTTGGGGGACAGCAAGGAGAGGCAGCAAGGAGGGAGGAAAGGCTGCCATCTCATTAGGGTGCTGGTTGACTTCCTGGTTGTAGTCATAGATCTCATGTAGTCATAGAATTACCTGGCTGGAAGGGACACCAGAGAGCAGTTAACTGCAGAGAACCGAGGTCCTGGAGTCTGAGCGGCGTGGCCTTGGGCGGGGGGTGCTCTGATGAGAAACAGTAGCTATTTATAGAATGCCACTGTGACCTGCTCTGCCATTATTCGCTCAGTGGTCCTCACAAGCATCTTTGAGGCATTTGCAGATGTGGAAACAAAGCCTCAGAGAGGTTAGGGAACGTGCAACTGTTGCACAGCTGGTGAAGATGCAGATTCTGGATTTGAAATCACATCTTTTAAATTCCAAAAAGTGTGTTCTTTCTCCTGTGCCTCCTGTTTTCCTCACTTCTATGATTCTTCCTACTGTAGTGTTTCTATTGCATACATCGTTTGGTCCTCGTACAACAGCCACAGTGAGAGATAGGGCACATGGGCCCACTTTACAGGTGAGGAAACTGAGGCTAAGGAGTTTGAAAAGAAAAGTAGAGTGACTTCAAGGGCAAGTCATGTGCCCACCCTCGCACGAGACGTACCTGGTTCTCAAAGTGTGACTCCTGGACCAGCATCACATTAGCATCGTCAGGGAAACTGTTCAAAATAAAAGTCTTGCATCCCACCCCAGGCCTACTTATCAGAAACTGGCGTGGAGCTCAGCAGTCTCCAGTTTGCATTCACACTAGTGAGCACCACTGGGCTATTTAGTAGCAAAATGGGGACTTGAGAATCCTGGTTCAATGCCAGCCCTGTTGTACTTCCTTGAATCGAGCCATTACAGAGTGTATGTTTTTGTATGCCTATATCCTCTCCTTAGGTAATGTATAGCGTATAATTGATTTTTTAAAATATACCTTACTCGTTATAGATCTCTGCATGTCATTTGTTTCAGATTCTTAAATCAGTGCCCCTGCCTTCGGCTCATTCCCCTCTCCCTCTCTGGTAGGTGACAGGGCATCCCAGTGACTGTGAGCATCATAGCAGGTGATTGGCCGGAGTTTGAGGGTAGAGGTGGGAAGTGCCAGGAGTTGTAAATCAAGGCACTGGTCTTTTCCTTCAGTCCAGAGCAAAGAGTACGCAGCTGCAGGCATGCTTTTGTTATGACCCAACAGTGTGGGCCTGCACACAGTTTGTGTATTTTATTCCTACCTTTCTGCATTATTGTCAACATTTCAAAATCAGATTTCTTACTTTGATTCTGATTCAGATATCCATTTTCTGGTTGGAGATACTTGAGTATCTGGCAACAGTGGACCAGGAAACACAAGGCAACGATGGGCTTTAACGGAGTATCCACTGTTCCATTTAGATGGCGTGTGTGCCCTCTAGTTTGCCACAGTCCCCACTATTCCCTATTGTCTCTGACTCTAATGCTGAAAGCGACTTGCCCTTTATCTTAGCACTTGCATCTTCACTTGTCTTATTAAAAAGGGAAATGTAAATGCATGGGCCTGTGTCTCTGCCAAGTGCTGAAATAAAAACTAGACTATTTTTAAAGAAGTAGGAGAAAGCTGATTTCTTTGTGGAAATGAAAACTGATCCTGTGACTAACACAGAAAAGAGTGGCCCATTTCCCATTGCCTGTCTGGCGTCTGAGAGCATATGAATTAGGGAGACCTGTCTTTCCATCCGGAAGGCAATAAGCTACACTGTAAGAATGACATCTCTATGCCAGACTAGTCCCAGCATGGCCAGTAGAAAGCTAATGGAAGCCACCAGTTACGTGGTGGCTTTGTACCGCCTTCTCATTCATATGTTTCCTTCTAGACGATTCAGCTCATGGCTTTGGCAGTAACTCCCACTATTGTGATTGTTTCCAGGTGGTGATCATGGAAGTCCAAGGCCTCAAGTCCCTGGCTCCCAATCGCATTGTGTACTGCACAATGGAGGTGGAAGGTGGTGAGAAGCTACAGACAGACCAGGCCGAGGCTTCTAAACCCACGTAAGTTGTGTTTCTCTACCGTTCATCGGCCACAAGTTTGTGCTCATGGGCTCTGTTTTGGCCAACTCCAAGTTGAAGATCTGGTTTCCATGGAAATTTCTAGAAGGTATATACCTTGTTTATTTTTCAAACAAGATGACTTGATTACATAACACGTGTTCAGATTCCTTTAAAGCAGAGAACAGAAGGAAATTAGAGAAACAATACTTTTCTGGAGGCTTTATGTGTTCACCTCAGAGTCACGACTTCCACCCTTTGGGTGGTATGCAGGGGAGCCTGACATATATTTGTTTCATTATATTTTCTAAATCACATTTGGCTTATTATAGAAACATTTTTTTTCTAATTCTTTATATGACACAGTCATAAATATATTAGCAAAGCAAAGCAGTCCATTACCTTAGAACTAACACATCATTTCTTTGGTCAGTGTGAATTTGTCAAATGCTCACTGTGTGTGTACAAGGCACTGTTGCTCAGTGGAAAGGAAAATAATCACTGTCATATCCCTACAGAGCTTACACTTGAGTGTGGGCATCAGAAAAATAATCACACAAACACACAACTACAAATAGTTATAAATGCTGGGGAGCAGAGAGTGCTTTGACAGGAGATAGCAGAGGCACTTAAACCAGTTTGTGGGGACAGCAGGGTAGGTTTTCTTTAGGAGTTATAAGTCATTTGGACTAATATTATAAAAGTTGGGCAAAGGCAGTGGGAGCAGAAAGGGGGTTCCAAGAAGATTTGGCTTGTGCAAAGGCCCTGTGGCAAGGAGGAACTGAAAGAAGGCCAGTGGGACCGCAGGTCAGAGAATAAGGTAGGCTTAAGCTGGCAGTGTGGCAGGAAGGGGACACACAATGAAGGGCTCTGTCGGGCCGTCAAGAAGAAAACATGGAGATACATGATTAGATGTGTTTTGAAAAGATCACTCTGGCCACAGGAGGGGAGGCCAGAGTTGATGCAGGAGACCAGTTAGGATTCTATTGCAATGGTTCACGCAAGTGCTGATGATGAATTCATTTGGGTCAATAGACTCTTGGACCTCAAGGACTGTTGAGATCACTGCTCTCTTCTTTGCCTAACCAGCACCTCCCTCCCTTTCTATTCTATCTCAATTAAGCCAGCTTAGACTATTGAGAATCTTTTTTTATTATTGTCAATTCATAAGAAAGTCATAGAAAGGGTAACTCCAAATTGCTGCTCATTGCCTCCTCCCTCTCGCATTAGGAGCTATTTAGAAGAACATGAATAACTTGCCAGGATGTTCAAACAAAATAGTTTGAGGAAAGCACTGAATGTCTCCCAGACGAGAGAGAATACGAGGCATTGTGTGCTTCAAGTGGCTCTTTGCATGAACAGGCGACGGCCTCATAGGCTCGGAAGCTGGGTACATTAATGAGTGTCTGCAAAGGAAATGGGACCTGATACAACTGGTCACACACTGCCCTTCCTCCCTCCTTGAAACTTAGCCTCAAACCGTAAATGAATGCAGGTTTTGTTTTTCTTAACTATTATTAATGAAATCCCAAAGTTTTCCCCACCGTCACCGTGGCCTGGTGCTGCATTATTTATATGTGCTTTTTAAAAATGTGCCATGTATCTGGTGTTTCCGCCAAACTTTTAAGATGTTGGGCCCAATATAGTGTTACAAATTAGATGGGGGAGGAAAAGGCTCTGATTATTCCAACAGGCTGCTGCTTTCTGTGTGGTATTTTAACTCCAAATGTAATTCATATTATTTTATTGGGTTTAAAGGTTTCAGTTTCAGTGATGAGCTGAATTCCATGTGCTTGTGAACGTTTAAAACCGAGTTTCAGATTATACATTAATATGGAATATCTGCGTCTACTTACTTCAAATACTCATGCTTCACATATATATTCACTCATATCCATACATGTACATTATTATGTCCATATAAATAAACATCTCACACTGGAACATTTTGCTTTTCTAGGTAGAGTATAATTTTTTTATTTCTCTTCAATCAGTGAGTGGGTATTACCAACACTCCACTGAGGGTAGGTTGGCTGGCTGGTTGGCTGGCTGGTTGGTTGGCTGGTTGGTTGGTTGGCAGAGTTGCTTTTTAATACAGCAGGAATGCAAGTTTCATGACTAGCATGAAGTCAAATCAGTTGGCAGTGGCCACCTAGAGTGTTGTGTTGAGAAGTGTCCTGAAGCCAAATCTGTATTCGGAGGAAAATAGTGCCGTGATCAACTTACAGCGCCTGCCACGCGGAGGGAACGGGTGATAGCCCTGTGTTTGCCATTCCCATCGCATCTCAAAGCAATATACCCGGAGTTTGAACTCTACCGATGCTCTTGCTTCTTCCTGTCCTTTTCTTTATCCTTTCTATATAAATACTCCTTATTGCCTCTGCTGATCTTCGTTTAAATCCACAGTTCTGTTCCTGGTTTCCTCTTCGCCGGCTCTGCCGTGGCCCAGTGCCGCTGGTCCTCCCGCTGCCGGTTCTGCCGGAGGCTCGACGAGCCTGCTTGTGCAGGTGCCTCTCTCCTTCCGCCCGCTTTGGATGCGCTCAGAATCCTCCCCGTCATTTCTTTCCTTGGAAGCTCATATTTCTTCTCCTTTCCTCCCCTCTTCTACTTACAGCTTCTTCCATTAATAATATCCAGCTGCCATCTCTGCTGCTTGATTTTGATTATCCCCAGAAGTATCCTTTTAAGGGTTATCTTTCATCTGTCCTAATAACTCTTTCGTCGTCTGACAAGCATAGCCTTTTCCTGCCCTGTCGGTCTCCCGAACCTTGGCTTTGACTCTCCTTACAGCCAGCTGAGCCCATACTTATTTTGTACATTCTACAAATAAAATTCCATTCGAGCCTGTTTTACTTCTTACTCATAAATTCTACTGATGCTGCTACCAAGTATTTCACCCAGCTCCTGGAACACAAACACCTATCCTGTCGTGTGTCTACAAGAATTTTGGCTTTTGGCTTTTTTTTTTTTTACAAGTACAGTCACAAATCCAGGCACACATTACATACCCAGTCTGTCCAAGAGTGTGCTGTTAGAATCGTGCAGAATACTCTAAAGAAGGGCAAGGGTGCCCTGGCCAGTTTGGCTCAGCGGTTAGATGTTGGCCCGTGGACCAAAGAGTCCCAGGTTCGATTCCAGCCAAGGGCACATATCTCGGTTGCGGTTCGTCCCCAGCCCTGGTTGGGGCCGTGCCTGTGGCAACCAATCAATGTGTCTCTCTCATGTCGATGTATCTCTCTTCCTCTCTCCCCGTCCTTTTCTGTCTGAAGATAATGTAAAAATATCCTCAGGTGAGGATAAAAAAAAAAAAAGGAGTGGCAGGGAGAGTGATACGGTGGTCCAGCGAGATTAGGAACATAGGACGTGCGTCTCCCTGTCTCTGTGAGTTTTTCATGGTGGATATTGTCATTTTAAAGGCTTTAAGTTTCCCAATCTTGTTTTAACTAGCACCCATCAGCATTGATTGGAGGTGCTGGCCGATACTGTACGAACCCAGTGATGGGGCCCCATGGGTTCCCTCGCCTCCTTTCTCAGAGTCACCTCTCCACGCAGAACCAGGGCCCTGTCTGAGCGTCCTTGCGGATCAGCTGCGTGGAAGAACGCTGCATTCGTGAGTTAAATATACTCTTTGTTCGGAAAAATGGAGTGTGTGTGTAACACCTCCTTCATTTTATCAACCTCCCTTCCACGTGTGGGTTCTTTTCAAGCAGACTCTGTATCCCCTCTTGAGTTTTTAATATAGAAAGCCAGAAGAATATGTAATCAAAGTTTTTCAGATTTATATTTATTGTAAATAGTATTGCCTACATTGGCAACCCATTCTTCCTCTCTCTTATGGGAAGCCAGTGGGGTAGAGGCTGAAGAAACGAAATCGTGGCTTTTGGTGAGCAGTCTCGGGAAGGCATGCAATGGAGGCGGGGAAGACGTGTGGATTCAAGAGTCCAGATGCATTTGTCCAGCCCCTTTGAAATCGAGCAGAGGACTTTTCTTGCCATGGGGCAGCATTTTTCAAAGGGTGTCACTCTTACTGCTGCTGAAAACAGAGATTGGGTTAGGTATTACCAAGACATGGCATGGAATAACACCAAATCATGTGAAAAGGAAAGGACTTTTTTTCCATTTCTTTTTAAGTTCTTCTGACCAAGTCAAGGAAAATGTTTTGATTTGGTTCTAGTATATCTTTAACACCATCCGTTAGAATTTAATAGCATTGTTCAGATTTTATTTGACCAAAAAAGTTTCCTGTGTACTGGTCCTTGGGATAGCTTAAATGGAAACAGAATGTCTCTCCTGAGGGACTCCTTTGGAATTTAGATGTAAGGGATCATACGAAGGGTAGGCACCTGCATTCTCTCAACAAGTGTACAGGGAATGATCTACTTGTTTCCAACGAATGCTGGGGCTAGAGCCAGGAATACTCTAGGTGAGCCTCAGCCTCATGGAGCAGCCCTTCCAGGAAAGGACACAAGCAGTAGCGAGCGAACAAGTGTGAAGGATGAAAACAGATTGTGTTTGTGCTGCCTCCCCTTCGTGGCTGGTGGTGCTGATTTGTCTACTTCAGAATAGACTTGAGTTTTCTTTTTTAAAGAAATATATTAACATTTAAAAAGTGAATTAATTTAAATGAAGTATATTAAGTAATAGCACAGGTGGTACCCAGATATGATTAAAAAAATTAAAAATAAAGAAATCATGGAAGTATCATGTGTCAGTGTGTGGAAATGGCAAAGACTGGTTGCAAATTACTTTAAGAAAATTAATGTAAGAAACCCTACCACAGTCCCTGAGTGGGGGATACACTCCAAGGTGACCATCTCTCTCAGTGGGTCTGTACAGTGTGTGTTACCCTAAACAAAAGCATAGCAGCACTATTTACAATAGATGAGATCTGGAAACAGCCCAAGTGTCCATCAGTAGATGAATGGATAAAAAAGCAGTGGTACATATACACAATGGAGTACTATGCAGCTATAAGAAAGAAAGATCTCTTATCCTTTGAGACG